ATGTAAAACATATCATAAAGAATGACCATATACTTCCTTTCTTACTTGCTTTTGCGCAAATTCCTTCGAAAATATTTTTTTAGTATTAGGAGCCGTAAATACATCCACGGTGACACTTCAGTACTATAATCCGGCAAAGTGAGGAAGGTGTCAAACTTGAGTGAAACATAGAACGTCAAAACGTGATTTTGAATTTGGTAGTATGCTGAATGAGTCCAATGACATAAGATTGGAATGAGTCCACTGAAAGTTGTGACAACCTGTAAATTATCAGAACTATGTTCAGTTTGCGGTCTCATTCTCGCCTACGCAAAATCGTGTAAAGAGCGATATAATCAGATATACGTTTGTAAATTGCTATTTTAGCCTGGCTTCCATGCTTTAGTTATTGTTACGAGGACGAGACGCATCGAACGAAGAACGAACAGCGCCATCGTCTCGTTCCGTAGGTACTATGATTTTATTGCTAAGTGACTTTGAATTCTATGTCTATCAATATACGATACGCAGCAATGACCACCGCGTTGTGAACGAGACGAAACATTGAAATAAATTATTGTAGTCCATATGATAATCGACCGTAAGACACAAGTAATAGTAGTTAATTTATTTTGTTATATCAAAGATAGAAACGAACGGAACGAGCTACGAATTGTTTCATTGTATTCTAGCTTGTATTTACATTGGATGTAAGTACAAATTCGCGTCAAACATTTCGAGGACTGGTTGTGCGACGAGGACTGCTTTAAAACAAAATGTAAAACGGTTCGTCTTTGGAACGACCACCTCTAATATCTTTCATTCGCTCTCTGCGTTACCGTTGTTTACGCGTTATGTATCATTATTGTTTTGTGTTTTAAACAAAAACTGCAAGTTTTACAGGTTTCAGGAGAAATGTTTAGGTATCGGTAATTAATACACTACAAGATGCTGAATACTGCATACTTGTACACGACTTCTAATGTAGTGGGTCAAAGATGTACTGAGCACCTGGCGCTCCTCCTGAGTCAACAGAGTACCCTCATCTTCCCTCAACAAGTTGACAGAAGCGCACTCCACCACTTCGCGTGAACTCTCTGTTAGCAAAGGGTGAATGTCCTGAGGCCTATCAGCTGTGAACCACGTCATATTAGAAAAATTCAAAACTAACTTCGACTTCGAAATAAAATCTATTCCTAAAAGTGTCTCGTTATTTGAGGCATCGGGGAACACAACAAATTCTATAGGTACACATACAGATATACAAATAACATTAACACATGCTAACAAAACATTATTGGTACGTATGCTACCATCAGCAAGCTTAACCGACATAGTTTGCGAATTAAACTGAATACCTAAACGTAACAAAAGTGAGTACAGCGTCGAACCTGCGATACTGCGTCGCGCGGCGGTATCTATAAGCGCTGTACCACTGTAACCACAAATCTCAATATTCAAAATAGGACGGCCTTGAATTAGAGTGTTGGGCTCGTCACACTTAACATAACATATCATATTAAGCGAGTAAAATACATTATTTGGTGAATGCGACGTATTTACCGCTACAACGTCGCAAGTTGAAATATTATTTTTACATTTTGGGCAATTCGCTCTAATATAGCCCTTTTCGCCACAACCATAGCAATGTAAGTTTGACTTATTACTAACCGAGTCTTTAGAGTCTTTTTTCGAGCACGAATCACGAGTATGCCCCCGCGACTTACAATACGCACAAAATAACTTTTTCACTTTTTCCGCGTACTCACTATTACCGGCACCAGTTGGAATCGAAGGCGACGACGAACGTTGCAGAGACCGCACCTGCGAACGCTGAGCTACTGCGGTATTATTCCTTGGACGCTCGGACGTTGAAGTGTTATCCGCCAAATTCACGCTCTCAGATGCAACGCGCGAAGCTCGCGAGCAGGGCGCGGGCGGTGGCATAGGGCGCTCCGGTCGCGCATGCGCCGACTGCGTATTTAAATTTTCCATGAGCGATTCTTCTATTGATCGCGCTTTATCGATCAAAGATTCGATACTGTTAACTGCGTCCCGTGTCAAACATTTCCGAATACGCTTATGTAGTAAGCCGTATATAATGTCCAACTTCGCTTCCTCGGGCAACACGTACGGTAATTTGGATATCATACCGCGTATTTTGATAATGAAAGTATCCGCGAGCTCTCCGTGTTGCTCATCAGCAAATATGCTACGAAACATCTTGTAACCAGGACGTGGAACACCATACATATATCGAAGTCTTTTGACGGCTTCGGGCCACGAGGACACCTCGGTCCGAACCCCTCTCCACCATACTGCAGCCTCGCCGTGGAGCAGCATGGGTAGATCACGTAGTGCAAGGTCGTCGCTGACCGACGAACACTCCTTAAATATCTCCACAGAGTCGATGAACGCTTCTAAGACTTCAGGATCTCGTCTCTGACCATCGAAGCGTGACGTACACAACTTTTGTTTCAAGTCATCACTTTACCACAAATAAGTATAATTTAATTTTAGCAAATATTCAGTCAATATGTTACTATGTATATTTCCTATTAGATAGACTATGTGTTTAAAGACAAATTTTATTGTACAAAGAGATTCAAGAAAAAAATAAAATCTAGTACTATAAGCATGTTTATTTATCTCATTGTATTCCACATGAAGAAACTTCGGTATTTTTTTTAAGGGGTGAAATTAATCGAATGACTGCTCCCGCATGGGTGAGGCGGGAGGGAGTGTCAGACTCTTACTGACTAAACACCACCCCGTTCCTTCTCCTGCACGTCGAGCCGGAGCCTCGGTTACCCGTTAGGTTCTCCGCGACTCCGAATCTGCATCGGCTCTATTGGGCCGCATCTGTGGTGGTCTGATGGCTCTTTGAGGCGCGCGCGGAACGCGACGCGCCGTACGCTCGGGAAGAAACTTAGGTATAGGAGCACCATGTCAGCACCACTAGGTATATTTCATTATCTACCCTCACACTTTCTAGCATCATCACTTGTTTTATTATCAAGTTGCAAGAACAATTTCGTCAGTTCAAGTTTAGTCTTCTTTGCTAGTCTATTCATTCTCTTATGAAAAAGAAGTGGTTTATGGTGTTGAAAAGCTGGCTTAGACAAACTCCTGGAATCCTTGAATAGACATTACAATGCATATGAGGCCAAATACAATGAACTATTCAAAACAATAATAACCCGACTACGAAAAACAATACTCTTATATTGTTTTTTGCGCGTATGTTATGTTTAAATTTTTACTTACGATACTTTCCATTAACTCCACCCTTATTTTGCATTAGAATTGATTTTTTTTATATTAATTAAAATAGAAATCATAATAAAAGTATAAACAAACAAATAACTTGACATAAATGGCATTTGACCTCTGTCAAACACGATGTTTGGAAGTTGTAAAATATTTTATGAAATTACAATAAACTAGTACGGACTTTCGTTGGTAGTGGTGAAGGTTACGCACGTGTTTTTGTGAACTTTTGTCATTCCTACGTTTGTTTTCAATTTAAGTGATCCAATTCATAGTGATCGGAATCGAAATCTTTTAAATTTTGTGTTGTCGTGTTGGTTAAGTGTGTGTGTGTAAGTTTTTAACAGGTAGGTGTGTTTCTAAGTAAAATTTTATCGAGACGCGCGGCCGCGCGTCAGTCAAGTTCAGCAAACAGCGCGCGCCACAGTGTATCTTTACACGAACCACTTCGTGCCACTTTTGCCCCCTCTATAACTCAAAAACTATTTTCAGTATAAAAATATTGAAAAGCTTTATAAAAATAATGACTGATGAAAACTGGCCAAGTCAAATCTAACCTACTTTAAGATCTCACATTTTTAGATAACAGCAATTATTATAGGTATCCAATAAAGCAAAGAAATATAGTTTGATTCTCGTTCATAACGTTATTTTGTTCCTATAGATACATATTTAAATTTTGCATAGAACTTGGCACTCATTTAGATCTTCATTCTTTTTTCGGCGAAGCCCACGTCAAAGCATAATATTTGGGCTGAACTTGGCTCCCTTTTTTTACATTTATGTTTTTGGTGGGATCTATATCTACAGAAATGGATGAGGTGAAGCCACCAGACCCTCCCGATCCCGACAAATTCCCGGGAAAATGAGACTGAAACCATTCAAAAAATCACTCTTCCTCCCGACACCCCGGATATCGAATTAATGGATTCAGAAGTTCCAAAAACCCGAAAATGACCTGCAGGCTCCCCCCCTATCACCCAGAACAACCCTCCGAAATTGGCTAAAAGTATAAACGGTCGACAGTGTTATACGGCCAGGGATAATCCCCCTTACGTAGTTTATGTGTCTCTTAAGGACTCCCAGACGTCTGGCACTACTCTCCACCCAGTTAAGTTTGGAATGTTTTTAATGAAACTCAATATTAATAATGTTAAAATCGGTGGTGTCAAACGGCTGGGGAGGAATAGAGTTTCGGTTGAATTTGTGACGCACCAGGATGCAAATAGCTTCCTAGTAAACGGTATGGTGGCTCAAAGCTATGTGACATCGATACCACAATTTAACATCACACGAATGGGCATTGTTAGGGACGTCCCTGTCGAATGGACAGAGAACGAAATTATTAGCAATATCAGGGTTCCCGCCGCGTGTGGGGCTGTAATAAAGGCTAGGAGAATGAACCGCAAAGTCTCAACCACAAACGGTACCGAATGGAAGCCTACTCAAACTGAAGTGCTTACTTTTGATGGCCAAACACTACTTAAAAAAGTGTTTTGTTCTTCCTCAGCGCTCCCGGTAGAACTATACTCGTACCCTACCATACAGTGTTATCACTGTTGCCGTTTTGGGCATACCCGCACTATTTGCCGCTCCAAGCCACGTTGTTTCAAGTGTGGCCAGGATCATCCAGGGGATGGATGCCAGATTCCAGCCGAGACTGCCACCTGTGTCAATTGCAGTGGCACTCATTTTGCTAATAACAAAGCTTGTCCTGAATTGGGTCGCCAGAAGAGCATCAAAGCTCTGATGGCTGAAAAATCAATTTCATATGCGGAAGCAAGCCAGGTTTTCCCTACTGTAAAAAGGTCTTATGCTGAGGTCTCAAGATCAGTCAACCTCATTGATCCATCTCCTATTAAAAAACCATCCCAACAAAAGTCTCCTATAAAAAAAACTATGCACCTTAAACCTAAATCACATGCTCCCCTATCTCCTAGCCATGATAAGAAGACTCATCAGGCCCTTACCCAAGACCACTGTTACTCCCCATCCAAAAACGGTTGCGCTTTCCCTGTGGAATCCGGAACCAACATTCGTAGCTCCAAGTACATTCTTAATATAGTTTCTGATATGCTCATGGCAATACTATCAATCCCTGCCCAAACTGTACCGGACCACGTCGCACACAAGCTTTCAACAATTCTTGATTATATCTGTAAAATTCCTACCTCTAAGGGCCCCCGCGCACTAGGCAGCCTGGCTGCGCAGCCAGGCTGCGGCAGCCAGAATATTTGCGCAGCCAGTTATAACAGCCAATCAACGACTAGTCTAGATCCTTCCGTCGAGCAATATGGACGTGGAAGAACTTATAATTATTGCTTACCTATCTCGTAAAAAACGCAAAATAAAGAAAAGATACTGGATTCATCCTCTTTTTCTAGAAAGACACTCAAAAGGCTTATTCCAAACCTATTTCAAAGATATTCGCGCATTCCCAGACCGGTTTTTGAACTACACGAGGATGTCAGTGCAATCGTTTGATAACCTTTTGGAAAAAATACGAAATTCAATCAATGGCATTGATACTCCTATGCGAGCTTGTATAAAACCTGAAGAAAAACTGGTTATAACTTTGAGGTGAGTACTAAAATGAAAGATATTGTTAATCAGTCTCTTAACATTTATTAGGTATTTATTTCTTACATGTATGGTAATGAATTACCTAGTTCAAGTTGTCCTGTGTAGTAAATAATTCTAGTAATTCAGAACCCTGAGACACATCTGTTGCATTTGTGTCAGTTGGTGATAACGCATCAGTATAAACAGTATTATCTTGCCTGTCTGGAACAGCCGTAGAATACCCACGGCGGCCCTCAGTGGTCGAGGCTTCTTGTCTATAATTCGAGTGTGTCGAGTATCCATAGCGATACTGCCCACTGCTTGTGGTTTCCGGTCCATATTCAGTAGAGTATCCTTGACCTTGGCGATACTGCCCACTGCTTGTGGTTTCCGGTCCATATTCAGTCGAGTATCCTTGACCTTGGCGATATTGTCCACTGAACGATGTTTGTGGTCTATATGATCTGGCGGCCGATGCCCCTGGTTCATAATCAACATTACGTTGGCGAAACGGACTAAATTCGGAATCGTGAGTTTGCATTTGAGCTCTTTTTATAACTTCAATTAACTCCATTTTTGTAGAAAGCTTACGATGTCTCGGGATGTTTTTAAAATCATCTAGAAGTGAAAGTATTAACAGTCTATCTGAATCAGACTCTTGCTGTCTTTCACGCTCTTCTCTCATTACAATACTTTCCCTTAATACCTGCACCAAATTATCGTCGTCACTTGTCTTCTTCTTTTTGGAAACAGGTCGTTCACCTTGAGTACTACCGCTGCTAGCGTTGATTTCGGCAGTGCGTGTTTCATCCATGCTATTTTGAGTTTCATTAATTACCACGGTAGGCCGAAGAAAATGAAGTTGTTCTAAATATACGTATGGGCTCTTACGCGAAGCTGCTGATCCACTTTTAATACCAGCTCTGCGTTTTACCTCCCTGCTGTAACTAGTCCTGATGTTCTTCCACTTGCTCTGTATAGATTTACCTGAAAATTATATTTGTTCTTTGTTACAGATATCTTGCTACAGGATGTTCTTTAATGGAATTGAGTCATAATTATCGGATTGGACATACAACTGTCCGAGATATCATACATGAAGTTTGTATGGCGATTTGGTAGAATATGAGACAGTCATCGTTTCCAGAATTAAATGAAGAGAGGTGGCTTGAAATAGCAAATGGTTTCAATGAAAATGCAAATTATCCCAATTGCGTTGGTGCCATCGATGGCAAGCATATAAGAGTGATAAAACCCAGCGATTCAGGGTCACTGTACTATAATTATAAAAATTATTTTTCCATCGTTTTACTTGCTGTATGCGATGCAGATTACAAATTCACATATATAGATGTTGGGGCTTATGGAAAATGTAGTGACTCATCGATATATAAAAAATCCATTTTGTATCAAAAACTTGTCAACAAAGATTTACAAATTCCGGAGAAGCGCCCCATATCAAATAATGGAGTACCGATGCCATACGTCATAGTGGGGGATGAGGCATTTGGCTTATGTGAAAATTTAATGAGACCTTATGGAGGTAGGAGTTTAACAGCGGAGAAAAGAATCTTCAACTATAGACTGTCTCGGGCAAGGCGGTACATAGAATGCACGTTTGGGATATTAGCCAACAAATGGAGAATTTTTCACCGCCCACTAGATGTCCGACAGGAACTTGCAATAGCCATAGTACAAGCTTGCTGTGTCTTACATAACTACGTGCGCGAAAGGGACGGGTATAGGTTTCAAGACACACTGTACGTTCCACCAGAACTGGAAATAACCGGTGGACCCGCAAATAGAGGAAGCCGATCATCAGCATCCTATAGGGATTTATTTGCGGATTATTTTATTAATGCAAATCCGTTAGAATGGCAAAACAGATATGCATTAGAATAGTGCCTACCTATTTATCTAAATAAAACATTGAAGTGAAAATACCTAGTTAAGTACCAAAAAAGAACAATAACGAATACATAGTTATTCTGCGATACTTTACAAAAATATTGATTGGTGTTGCAGAATCACCTGTATTATACTGTATAATCCAGATAATAAAAATACATGCTTACCAAATTCTTTTTTGTCATTTTCTGATAAACTTTCCGAGCACATTTGGTTCGTGATTTCTTCCCATCTCCTTTTCTTTAAATCCCGATCACTGTATTCTTCCGATGTTATATCCCAAATTGCTTTACGGCTTTCAATTTCCCGAATAAATTTCTCTGTATCGAAAGTCATCTTATCAAAGTTCAGAACGCAAAATACGTCTGGCTGCTACAACTAGTGCGCGGAGACTGACCGCAGCCACATACATTCGCCTACACACGCTCTGGCTGCGCGCAGCCAGCTGGCTGCCGTGCATATAGGCGCGTTTCATTGGCTGCCGCAGCCGAGATTTCGTGGCTGCCTAGTGCGTGGGCTCCCGTACAATGTCATATGTTTGACTGGCTGCCGCAGCCTGGCTGCCGCAGCCAGGCTGCCTAGTGCGCGGGGGCCCTAACACTGCTTCAGTGGAACGTGAGGAGTACTCTTCCCAGGAAGAGTGACTTACTCCACTTGATGAATAAATTTAAACCATCGATTTGTGGCATTGCTGAGACATGGCTTCGACCGAATATAAATTTCGGGATCCCGTGTTTCCGCGTTTTCAGACATGACAGATCTGATGGTTATGAAGAGTGTGCTTTGTTAATTAATAACAAAGTACCCTTCTCCCAGATCCCTCTACCCTTCGTTGGCGATGACATAAATGTTGTCGCTGTTAAGGCTGAGGACATAAACATATTTGTATTTTACATTGGTCACCCTCATGTTGACCACCTTATTTTGATTAAAAATTTACTTACCTCAGTAAGTGGCCCATTACTTATTATGGGTGACTTTAACTCCCACCACTATAGATGGGTTTCAGATTTTTGTGATAATATGGGTAATGAGCTAGTTGAGATGCTGGACGAACTCGAGCTGTGTGTCATTAATGATGGCAGCCCTACTCGTAGGTCTGCATTTGGTCAAAGAAACAGCTGTGTGGACTTGACCTTTTGCTCGCTTATTATGGCTAGCGTGCTAAATTGGAGTTGTTTAAATTTAACCTATGGTAGTGATCACTACCCCATCATAATTAAACACCTGTCAAAATCCATCCCAGATAAACCCCTTCCCCCACTATTAAGATATCGATTAGATTCTGCAGACTGGGATCTTAACTCAAAATTATTAGACCTCCGCATCTCTCTCCTTCCACCAATCAACTACGAGAATTCTTTGGAATGTTTCTCCAAATTTTTGGACTTGATAGCCTCCACAGCCGAAGATTGCTTTCCGGTGAAAAACGCACCGAAAGGCAAAATCTCTTCTCCACCGTGGTGGGATAGTGAATGCACTGCCATGATAAGAGCTAGGAATGCGGCTGAAAAGACATATAACCAAGATATGAACCTGGAAAACATCCTAAATTTCAAGCGAATTTTGGCTAAGTCAAGGAAATTGTTCAAGAAAAAGAAGAGACAAGGGTGTCAGAGATATTGTGGTTCACTAAGCCCATCGACACCAATATCCAAAGTTTGGCAGAGATTTAAAAACTTTAGGAACTCCACCAAAACCTCCCACTATCTCCACCTTACCCGAATCTCTGAGTAACAGTTTTTTCAACAACATTGCCTGCATCTTCAGATTTAAGACATTTATTTTCTAAAAGACACAAATTACCTAACTCGCCAAATACGATAAGATCTATCGTAATAAACTTTAGCAACACAGTCAAAGCTGACATGGTTATAGAATTTGAACGTCTCAAGAAAGGATACATAGATTTTCACTCACATTTGACGAATGGACGTCACAAAAAAATCATCGATGCTTAAATATCAACGTTCACCAGAAAGAAAAAACTATTTTTGTTGCATAATGTGAGACATGTTTGATTGCTCGTAATAAAAGTTGATTATTTAAATAAATCTCTGTAGTTTCAATTCGATTTTATAACATAATTTTAAAGATGCGTGCGATTGATCAATCCCGCATAACAATCCCGCGGGATTGAAAGTGCTGCGGGATTGCAATCCCTATTTGAGAACTAATTACCGGAAGGAACTCAAGAAACACCTTCAGTCGATGAAATCCGGATCTAGCGCAGACGACATATACCAACCTACTTTATGGTATTTTAATGAAATGGTTTTTTACAAGATCAGGAAACCGCATCGGATTCACAGTCTAGTATGGATGCTCAGTCTACTGTACGTAGTCCGGGAGGAGAGACTGAACATTCTAGTTTGGACAATAATTATACACAGGTAAATTTTAATTTATTTTATTTCAATGAATACATAGAGTTATAGGTATGTTTTATGAAACCATTTTCTCTTGCCAGGGAACTGCACCTTCGTTGTTACAAAATCCATTGTATTCGTCCCGTGCTTGTTTCGCGATATTCAGTGAATTTTTTTTATTGATATTTTCCAATGGTGTCAACTGAAATACTTCCTTAGAAGGTGGGTGTATTATTGCTGATTCGTTATCTTTACGAAACATAAATGATGGAGATAAGTAGGAACGGGATTTCCTCAAAAAATTGTGTAGATAACAACAAGTCAAAACAATTTCCCTTACTTTTGTAGAATCAAAAGGAAATGCTCTTTGAAATACTCCAAAACGAGTAGTTAGTATACCGAAAACACTTTTAACCATCCTTCTAGCTCGCGATATTCGATAATTATATATTCTTTTTTCTTTTGTTAATCTAGTTTGGCTATTCTGCAGCACACCCCCATCTGATACACGTCCATTAGTCCCTACATCAACCATAATGAACTCGTAGTTAGCATTTACAACCGCCATCAACACAATACTGAATGTTTTTTTGTAGTTATAGTAGTATGATCCAGAACCAGGAGGTTTCTTTAATTCCACGTGTTTGCCATCTATAGCAACGATTACATGAGGAGCATTCCATTGGCTCTCAAAATCCTTGGCAATTTGTTTCCATTCCTCGGCAGTTTGTGGTAGCTGAAAACAAAATAACAAATTGTTTATCTTTTTCAGGAAAATAGTTCAACCGTTGAAGCTGATGAAGTGGCATCTAAATCCTATGCAGTTCCGAAGACAAAAGATAAAAAATTAAAGAGAAAATCTGAAGATGACCTTATGCAGTTGGCAGCTGACCGTCTGAAACCAGACGAATATGAAAACTGGGCTTTGTCTTGTGCTGCAGATTTAAAGAAAATGGAACCAATACAGAAATCTTTGCTAAGAGTGCTATTGCTGCCATTATAATGGCAGGACAATTAGGTCTTTTACATCGCAATTCGGTTAAAATAAATACTCCAACAGTAACAATAAATCCATCTCCAACATATACCAGATCCACGCCAACTCCAACAAATTACAGCAGCACGCCATCGCCTCGCTATTTTATTAATTATTCTCAACAGCAAAATTCGCTATTTTATTAATTTTTACGAGTTGTAATTTAATGGATGATTTGTATGCAAGACAAATATTTGCTGTTGGCACAGTAAGAGTTAACAGGAAAGATCTTCCAGAGATTATGAAGAAAAAGCAACCAAAAAATTAAAAACTTGAAAAACACCAATTTGCTGCTATAACAGCAAAGCCTATTTCTGCAATTAAGTGGTTAGATACTAGAGACGTAACTATACTGACAACAGCCCATAAACCAAATGACACAACTTTTGTAAAAAGAACACAAAATATGGGCCACGACGAGATATCCTTTGCCCAACTGCTGTTGCTGGTTATACACTAAGCATGGGAGGAGTAGATCATTTTGATCATTTTCGATCTTCGTATCCGATAAATCGAAAATGCAGAAAATTCTGGATGAGGCTATTTTTCTTTATGTTGGATTCCTCAATAATTAACTCTTATATAACTTATAATACAGTACACGTTGTAACTACGCATTCGCATAGAGACTTCAGATTACGACTTTCTCGAGAGTTGATTGATAACTTTACAAACAAGAAAAATCGCACTGTCGTATTTAAAAACAAAAAAGGACTAAACTTTGGAGTACCAGACGAAATTCGACTCCTCAATGTCGGCGTCCACCTGCCTGAAGAAGGAAACACCTACAAAAGATGTCGCTTTTGTAGCACGAAAAAGGAAGAAAAGCGTACTAAAATACTTTGCACTACTTGTAAAGTGGCGTTATGTGCAAAAAATTGTTTTAAATCTTTCCATTTGGCTTCCCCTCAAAATTAAATATTTTGATATTATTTTCTGATTTTTATACAATAAAGTACATCCTTATATAATAACGTTTTGTTACTTATCTATTTTTCACGTTACGATCACTATTAGAACATGTTTTCAAAATATTAAAAAAAATGACCAAGCAGACCCACGGCAAACACTAGTATTATGTATAGGTGAAAAGTCTGTAACATTTCGGGTTCATAATGGGACAAAGGGAATTATTTTCCCACTTGTAAGTTTTATTGACCGCGCTTATCGGGCAACGGGAAATAATTTCCCACCGCAAAAACAACCCTTTCCCCTCCACCCCCTATATTTTTTTTGATGTTTTTGAAATCTCCGGTATTATATTTCTATAAATCATATCTTTCTTTTAAACTAAGTATTATACATCCTTGTGCCCGATTAGGTAAGGGTTAAGGAGGAGGTCCACCCAGGAAATTGACTGTAGATCCAGCAATCGATCGAGTTCTATACTCCGTCTGTTTAGGTAGTTAACTATTTGTAAACAAACCATAAAAAGAGATCTTTATAGTTGACATTTCCATGACTCAAAATACTTCATAAGAAAATAAAATTGTTTCCATTTTTACGACAGTTTCCCAGGTATCCAAAACCTTTCTTTATGAACGAAGCATTAGATAATGTTGTCAAATTAAAGAGTACAATTAAGATGTAGCGCGACAATGAAAGTAGCGTGTATTACGTTTAGTCGGTTAACAGGCGCCATTGACAGCTCTCTCGTCGTTTGTTCTGTTTTTGTTATTAAGTTATTTAAGTTTAGGTAATTCATCGTTTGTAATTAATGTGTTCAAATATATTGAAGAAACTTGGCCCAAAGACACATATCCGTACAAGAAAGAAATCCGTACATCAGATTCAGAATAGTTTCTATTTAAACATGATAATGAAATAGACCCATAGGCTAGGCTCTCGTACGATTTAAGCATTTGTGCTTGTATGTCTGTGTGTGAAAAATTAACGATTTTAGAGTGAGTTTAGTTTAAATTAAAACACGAGAAATATTTGAAGTAATAGAAGGTTAAGTATCTCTGTGTCACGTGGTTTTGTTTGTTTACCTTTAGTTAATTACCTAAACAGATGGACTATAGATCTTATCTAGACTAGTGTCTGGATTTGTTAACCCTTAAATTCATATTGTTGCCAATTGTATACGGACTATAAAATCACGATTTATTCGAGTTATGTATAAAATTTGTGTATCCGAACGCATTGTGACCATAGACTAAAAACTCATCTGTCATATAAGTAAATGTCAAAAGTGAAATGGCGCGTATTTTCTAAATAATTTGACATCAGCTCTGGATGGCGGAAAAATTTGTAAGTTACGTGAGAGCGAGTTTTTGATTTTTTTTTTCTCTGTGAAAACGCATATAAATTGATTTATAAAAATTGATATTGCACTGGAATAAAGGTAAGTTTGCTATATCAAATGTTATTTTGTTGAAATTTATTCCAAATCTTCAAGTTTTTTCTCTAAATATGAATGTTGCCATTTGTCTACACTATGCGTATACCGGTAATGTAATTCCTGCTTGGGCTTTGCCTGCTTCTAAGTTTTATTGCATTCTTTTTAGCTTTTTGCTTTGTTTTAGCATGTCGCGATCACTGCGGGAAAAGGAGATTGAGGCTATGCTTTCAGCGTTAGAAAACGGTAATATTTCCGAAGATGAGTATGATATCGGCGATGAAAATGAAATGAATTATTATCCTAATGATCATGAGTTGTTGCGAGAGTTGGATAGTGAACATGATGAAGAAAACTTAACTGAAGAAAATCCACCAATGCTTATTGAAGAAGAAGGAACATCAAATAGGGCACAGTCTCCGGAAACAGCAGCAGGACTTTCGCCTGGTCAACCGCTGTCAAGTGGTATTGGTATAGCAGAGTGGAGGTCAAGAAGTAGAGAACTTGTATGGAAAAAAAAGAACCTGGAATGGAATGATGAACGAATAACATTTTTAGGATCAACGGAACTCCCTGAAGAAATAGCCCAGTTGGATACCCCTTTCCAATTGTTTTCACAATTTATTAATGAAGGTATTCTCACTAAAATTGTTGACGAGACAAATTTATATATTATACAAAATAACATTTCAAACTGTCCACCAGTCAGTATCACAGAAATTCGAAAGTTTTTAGGTATAACAATATTTATGTCTGTCTTCCATTACCCCAGTGTAAGATCATACTGGGGTAAGTATGGTTTCCAAAATATAATGCAGACAATGACCGTGAACAGATTTGAGAAATTACGATCGGTCATTCACTTCAAAATGTAAAAATAAAATAAAAATAAAATAAAATAAAATGAATGCTGCTCCATTTGAGCAAAGATTATCGTTGGATGAACAAATGTGTTCTACTAAGGTAGCACATTTTATGAAACAGATACTGTTTCATAAAATGTGCTACCTTCCCGAACAAACCCCACAAGTGGGGATTCAAATTATTCGTGCTTTGTTCGCTTTCAGGGTATGCCTATACATTTGAGATATATTCTGGAAAACAAGACGATAAAAATCTTCCAGGAGAACCAGATCTTGGTGTTAAAGGAAACACTGTGATTCGTTTATGTAGTTCAGTACCACGGATGCAAAATCATATAATTTATTTCGATAATTTTTATACTTCGATTCCCTTACTTTATTATTTGAAAAAGCAAGGAATATATGCATTGGGGACTATCCAAAGAAATCGTCTGGGAAAAAATTGTAAGCTGCCTACTGTAAAAGATTATATGAAGGAGACTGTTTCTCGAGGTTCTTATGAAGAGCAAGTCGCTGATTATGACGGTGTTGACATAACAGTTACATGTTGGAAAGACAACAAAGTAGTCACTTTGGCTTCGACTTATGTTGGCTCTGAACCGGCTACTACAGTTTGTAGATATGACAAGAAAATAAAACGTAAAATAGATATACCCTGCCCAAAAATAATCAAAGATTACAACGCCCACATGGGCGGTGTTGATCTCATGGATAGCTTTTTGGGCAGATATAAAATCAGTATCAAAAGCCGCAAGTGGTACATGCGTCTTTTCTATCATATGATCGATATGGCCGTAATCAATTCATGGGTTCTCTATAAAAAAAGAATCCAAACGCAAACATGACATTGGCTGATTACAGAGGGGAGCTGGCAGAAGCATTATGTAATTATAAAAATACAGCTGAAAATAAAAGAGGACGGCCTTCTACTTCGAATTTAGAGAAGGAAATAGAAGCCAAAAGAAGTCGCGGAAATATGAAGCCTGTTCCACCAAAAGATGTAAGGACAGATGGTGTTGACCACAATGAACGAAGGTATGAAAATAAAAATAGATGCAAACTTCCCGGCTGCAAGGGATTTTCTCGCACCGAATTCACAAAATGCAAGGTAGCTTTATGTCACACAAAGTACAGGAATTGTTTCGCTACATTCCATGGCATACAATCCTAATTTTTAAATAAATGTCAGATTTGTTTTACTTGTATACGCATATTGTTGCCAAATGTCAACTAACAGTTTTTTTTTAATAAAAAAAATATTAATGTCATAAGATTTTATTCATTATTTTTCCCTTAACCTATGGCCCAAAAACTATCGGAAACCATTTTTTTTAAATAAAAATAAAAAATCATGCATTTAAGGGTTGTGTATGACTCCGATGGCACTCATATTTTAGGTAAGATTTTTCACAAGTCTTGAACGTTTTATTATCTTTATATTATTGTATATAGTTACTACTTTACTTGTTAGACCTTACACACTTTGAATTGGTTATAATCAAAGAATTGGATACACATCAACTTTGCTGATGAGCATTGCATTACATGATGCAATGCATAATTTCTGGTTCTTTAAAAGACACACAGACAAACCTCCATTATTATTTACATATACATAGAATATGTAGGTTTGTCACCGAACTCTGACAAAGTCTGCGGAGACTGCCAGTAAATATGTAAATTGTTATTAAACTCATACATAAGTTTGGCCTAGTCTTTTTGCTGTATTCAATTTGCATCATAACAAAATATATAAACAAGACTTTATTTTTCAGCATCCGGTAACAATCCAAGCACATCAGTGGCCGACCAGGCACCTCAAAATGATATATTATTATATTCAAATGGTAAGTATTAATTTGTTATTTCTTACGTAATGCAGATTTTAAATCAATTATATACATTGATTTAATTTGGTACCATGCATGTATTATATTGAAATTTAGATAATAGTAGAGTAATTTAAACAAATATGTTTAACAATTGTCTATTACTCTAACTATAAGCTCTGCTTAGTTTGGGTATAGACAGCATTGTGTGAAAGTTAAGGTATATTATCATTATTATTTTCATGAGCAGTCCGCTGCTCATGCTGAACGCCCTATAGCGACGGCAAGTCACAGAAGGCCAATTTTATGGCGTGAAAGCCTTAACGCGCAACGCATCAACACGTTACTAAATTGTAATAAAAATGCTGATGAAGAACATGCCGCAAATATGGCAATTTTGCGGCTTCAAGAGCAGAGGGAGGAAGAAATGCTGGTTCAAGAAAAATTAAAAACGGAACAAGAAAAAATAAAACTAGAAATTTTGAAATTACAGTTAAAAAAATTACAAGATTATTTATAAGTAGTTTTTATTTCCTTTCAAACAAAATTCACAAATTCATTACAGAATACCTTTTTTCTTATTATTCCAGAGCAATTTAATTTAATTCAAAGCAACTTTAAAATTAACAACACCTAATTTATTGTTACTGATGACTATCTTTTTCAAGTTTCAAAATCAAATCATTTATCTATTTCAATAGTCCATAAACAAGCACTTTTGCAATGTCTAAATTGAAATTGAGCATCAGTGAAGCTAGGTGCTCTTTTCAAAATGTAAATTTATAAAAATAGTGCACTGGATGTTTATGTAAAAACATATGGTTGATTTTAACATAATATTACTTGCATTGTATTATGCAGACTGACAATCTATAATAAGATTTCAATTAAATTATTCTTGGAATTTCAACAGCTACTGACTGAGTAATGTCCAATGGTGCTGCGCCAAATATTTATCTTGTTAGTCTGAAAAGATAAATATATAATTATTTATTTATCCATAAAAGGTAGGTACAATATACAAAAAAAATGTTAGTTTCAGTAAAATAAATAGTGAGTAAGTATAAACAAAAAGTAGTTAGAAAGTAAAATTAAAATCCTGTTTGCATGTTTGTTTTAATTTGGGCTGGCAGGCAAAGTATAACTGGGTTTATTAAAAATTCTCAGTAGTAGCACGGAGTTTGGAATTGTGCCCAGTATATGGCAATAGGCTCACCCCATTATATGGGAGTGCTAACATAAATAGTGAATAGTAGGTGTTACATTGTACAGCAGGCATTAAGTGCCGTGATGTGCACCTCTGCCTACCGCTTCAGGGATAAAAAGCGTAATGATATAGTAATGATTACATACAACTGTCAACTCACCGTCCAAAGTAGTTTGTGATAAGTTCATTACGTCTTCTATAATTTTGATTTGTCCTGTATGATTGTCCTTTATTAATATTTTCACTGCTAATATCACCCTGAGTTATTAATGCATCCCAATAATCTGGATTTATAATTTGGTTGTCATTAGGAGGTATGACTTCACCACTTCTTCTTGCACCTAGTACAACTATAACTTAGTCTACTTTCAGTGAACTGCTATACAAAATTGGTGAGTACAATTTATTTAAAACATTTTTAATCATGATTTACCTACAAGTGTTTCTGAGGTTTGCGCGAGCACTAGACATAATAAAACAACTTTTAAACGGTTTAACTCGCCTACCACGAACGCTGAAAAGTCGAAACGTCAGGAATGTATAAATGATTAATATAGGCGAGTTAAACCGTTTAAAAGTTGTTTTATTATTTATTTTTTACCTATCATTATTTCTTTACACATAAGACAACAAAATATTTCTATTCCAATGCGATCACATTTTTTTTTCAAACATGAGCGACCCACCCTATTGTAGTGTGTGTGTGTAAGTTGTTTTATTCTTGTTATTTTTTTTTTAGGTTATGGAACCCTTCGGTAATCCACTACCATCCTGCTCTTGGCAAAGCCCTAATTGGGATTTCCCTGGGATCGAAGACACTTTAGCCGCCATGGAATCTTTGAATACAACTCCGCCTTTGAACCAGCCACCCTCAGTTTTAACTGACTCTGAGCTTTTAGGAATCCTCTCTGAAAATGTCTTAGACGAGATGGATACAGATGACGACGACTGCCAAATAGATTTAAATGAGCTAGAAGAACTGGTACCTCTTGATACATTTAATGATGAATGGCAACCAGGGAATCCTGGTCAATATAGCGAACTCCCTTTTACCAAGACAACCGGTCTTCAAGAATACATAGCTGATACACCAATAAGCTATTTTAACGCCATATGTAATGAAGAACTGCTTAGTTTATTAACTCACTCTACCAACGAGTACGGCGAATATGAAAGAGCTGCAAGCAGAAGTGCACAAAGCAGAGCTAAGTTTTGGAAACCTATAAGTTGCAGCGATATAAAATTATTCTTTGGATTACTATTACACATGGGCTTCATAAAAATTAATAGACTATCAGATTATTGGAAAACTGATTCATATTTTAATCAACCAATATTTGCAAAAGCAATGTCGCGTAATACTTTTTTATTAATTTTAAGAATGTTGTGCGTGAATATAGGAGGAACTACAAGCCATTGTAAAATAAAGCCAATAATTGACTATTTCAATGAAGAATGTTAGAAATTTATTACCCAACGAAAAATATAGTGATTGACGAATCAATGATGTTATGGAGAGGGAGATTAAGATTTCGACAATATATGAAAGGAAAGAAAAATAAGTATGGTCTGAAGTTTTATGCACTTGCCGATCAGCTAGGGGTTGTGCTAAAATTGCATTTGTATGGTGGTGCATCTGATACGCTTGTTGGTGGAACAAACCACGTTAAAAAAGTAGTATATCATTTAATGGATGCATATATAAATGCGGGACACCATTTGGTGATAGATAATTTTTATACAAGCGTGGGTCTGTTGGAGGAGTTATATAATAAACATACTTATTGTACAGGAACTTTAAGAAAAATGAGGAAAGGCAATCCCGAAACATTATTAAAAACTAAATTAAAAAAGTGTGAGTTATGCATTCTACATAAAAATAACATTTGCCTAATTAAATGGATGGATCAAAGAGAGGTGTTGGCTATCTCAACAAAATACAATGGCAATTTAGAGAGTACCAGAAATCGCAGAGGGCAAATGAAACTTAAACCCCAAATAATTAAATATTATAATCAAAATATGAGTGCCATTGATCGACATGACCAAATGCTATCATATTACTCATGTGAACACAAGACCCTCAGATGGTATAAAAAAGTTATAATCCACATTATGCAAATAATAACAATAAATTCTTTCTTCCTGTACAATAAGTAGGTACTCGGCAAATAACAAAATGACTATATGATTTCAGATTAAATGTAATTAAATCTATTATAGAGCCTCATTTACCTCCGGATTTGCGAATTCCATTAGGGACAAATGTTCATTGCATCATGAAATTACAAAAAGACACAAAAGGCAAAACCAAGCGAAGAAGATGCGTCCACTGCTGGACAACCAAGAAAAAAAGGGTAGCAACATTGTTTGCTTGCGAGAAATGTCCCCAACAGCCAGGCTTGTGCATAGAATGCTTCAAAGCATATCACAAATATTAATAACTTAGGTTTAATTTAAAGAAAGACCATTTAAAGTATTAAAATTTTTTTATTACATAAATCAGTCTCATTATTATGTAGTGGACCACAATATGATTCATTAAGTATTAATGTTTTGAAAAACTGAAAAAACTGTATACATATATGACATAACATGTTATCACAGCCTAAATTATCGACACTGTGACATTGTTGATAAAAACTGGCTGCCCAGATTGTCCAGATTTTCATGGTTTAAGTATATCTAGATTTCTTTATATACCAAAGTTATTAAAAAAAGATGGTTACTTAATCCCTAAATTAAAGATTAGGTACTTAATATATAATTATTATAATCTTAATCACAGCCTATATTCCCGAGTCTAATTGTCTGATTGTCAGATCTCCTTTTTTGTAATCAATAAAAATGATTTTGTGTTAATCATTGTCTTTTATTTCAATCTTCATACTGTCGTATTGTGCGAATTAATTCTTCATAGCATTCCAATCGCCTGTTTGCGGGCACATTTCTAAGTCTAAAAGCAAGCATTATATCAAATCATGCTCGAACTGGGCGTAAATTGGAGGTAGTTCGTTTTCTGTATTCAGTTCGGCTTTTAAATCTTTTGCAAACAATGCGTTAAAATATTTTTTGGCGGCACAACATGCAGGACTCGTTTTGGTTTCACTTAAAGAATCATTATTTTGTGGCATTGGCAATTTGTCTATTTTCAATTCTTTTGCAACACGTTCATCAGAATCAGTAATCTTATCAAAGCTATTGTCTGTTGATTCTGTGTCTAGACAAGTACGTGAACCTTCAAATTTCCTTTTCAATGGAAAGTTTTGTAATATTGACTGACTACATTCCGGAAAACTTTCATATTCTTTACGGTTATCTTCCAGGTGATCATCTGCTTCCGTAAATAATGCTTGACTACATTCAGGATAGTTATCATAGCATTCTTCCTGATTATCTGCAGTAAAACAAATATTATATACTAGGTATTACGATTAAGTATATAAATTACCATAATAATGTCTTAGGTTTGCGCGAGCACTAGACATAAAAATCGTTGCGAAATTTTTTCAGGGATCGTGGTCTGCTTGCGACCGCGAACACTGAAACGAAACGAATATACGCGAGTTAAGCCGTTTAAAAATCGTTTTATTAAATAAATTACCATTTAGGAGAGTAATGTTTTGTTTGCCAAAACATCATTTGTATTAATACTGTTTTCCATAATCGTCCCCGCTCATAATATTTATTTGCTATTTTCATTTATTCTGTTACTCGCAGCCATGCAGCCGGCTG